CTCTTTTTCATCTCACGTTCTCGTCATCATTGCTCTCTGCGCCGCGCTGTTCCAGATCAAATTCCGTGTTCGGTTTCTCTCTTAGTCTTAACTCGACCAATTAAAGGTGCTGTCTATTGTATCACAGAAGGACGACAAAATTTGAGTTATACTCTCAGGAAATGAGAGATTTTGTCACCTTTTCTCGTTCGTAATTTTTTTTCTGAATCCGAATTTTCTTTATGGCTACATTTAAAAAAAATTGCAAAATTTGCCGCCCCCTAAATTTGCCACCATGGGCCGCGGCCTATGTGGCCACCCCCTTAATCCGTCCCTGGATGTGCTATGCCATTATTTGAATTTCAAGAAAGAGTTTTTTGATCTGGGTAAGACGGCTTTGCCAGCTTTGCACGAAAAATGTTTTTTTTGTTTTTGTAATATTGTCTTGGAAAATCACAGCCATGATGAGTTCAATAAAAAACACTGTTACATCATCTTGGTCACCATTTCTTAGACTAGAGATCACTTGTCTCTAGTAGGACCTAAAGTCCCTTTATGCTGAGAGTTAAGACAATGTGAATCCAATTCTGATTGATTACCGTATTTAAGGCCTCCACAGTGTCACAAACGGGAATAAATATTACATTTTCACCAATTACTATCTGGAATGAACCGAGGAATTACGGGTTCGACAAGGAACAAACGGAATGAGAGAAGGAACGGAGAAAGGAATTTGAGAATGAACCGATCAAAGATTACGAAAAACGTCCAATTTTTGTTATCTTATTCCCGTTTGTGACTCCATGAGGGGGTGTTGTCTTAACTCTCAATATAAAGGGACTCTAGTAGGACCTATACAGACTGACGGTTTTCGAATGTGATTCCGGGTTATCCTATACGATGTAGCAACACTGTTCTTAAGGAGCAGCGCCCACCTCCTGTGAGGATGAAGCTGAAGCAGTGTTCTCAAAATCCTCGAGACGTTTTCAAAATTGAGGTCGAAGAGCAGTGCAAGGTGTGCTCTGCCTCTGTCGGGGTCACAGTTTGCCTGAAACCGCTTTCTCGCTCAGCTACATCGGGACTTCTTGGCTTGATGAGCGAAATTTTCAGGCAACAGCTTCCAATGGCAAGGTTCCTTTTGGCGTACCAAAAGCAAGTTCGAGATCATAATCATTACCATAAAGAAGGGTCGATCATTTGCCTATTAAAAATTCATCATTAGCGGATCCAACAAATTGGCAACATTATTTATTCACTCCTTAAACCTATGAAAATGTATCGATTTTTGGAGGGGAATGTTGTCCCGATAAGTATCGATTATTCAACACAGGTTTAAATGGGAAAAAGCCAGTTTTGCCAAAGTGCTGGATCCGTCTCTGTATTTCATTAATTTTCTTCCTTAACATAACTTTTCCTGATTCATTTAAGTTCCCTAATTTTTCCACGTCAAAATACACGCTGATGCTATCTCATCCTTGGTTGTGCAAAACAAATGGGGCTTTCTTAATTTTCTGGAATACTGAGACACTGAGAGAGGATTCTCTTCTTTTTACCGGGAAACCAAAAAAGCTGAATATTCTTTTAATAATGTTCGTAAAACCTCTTGACAAAAATTGGCCTTTGAAATTTAATTTTCCATTTCAATTAAAAAAAAATGACGCAAAGAAGAGGGGAAATACTTATATATTTTTGACAGTACTAAAGATACAATTTTTTTCGTATTCTACGAATGGTAGATAAACTCTTGAAAATCTGTCAGAGGCCAACGAAGGCAAAGAATGAACCGTAATTCCAATACTAAGATGAGGAGTCGTTCCCGCTAAATACTGTGTTCCTACACTGTCCATATGGGACGAAAGAGCGACATAGGTTTCAAAAAATACAGAATATTCAAAGTTTGAAGAGAATAAATAAAGTAATGAACCTAAGCCACCCTGTGATACTGGGAGGAATAAAGCCGTACAACAAGCACGATCTTACATGAGACACGTCTTGAAACTGGCTCTACGCCCGGAGTGAAAATGTCATAAAATCTGCTTTTAGAAGGTAACTCTTGACAAAATATCACGAACTCAGCTAACACTAAGCGTAATCTGGAGTTGCATTCGCACAAATGTAAGCGGCGCGGCTTAAAAAGTCAACTGTCGCTCTGCATGGCTGCATACTGCTGTGCTAAGGAAGAACGCCGTATGAGCCTCCAGGCGTTGCCGTTCCTTCGATAAATCACGAATAATAATTGAGAAAATTTATAAATAGTTTAAAAATATAATTTTTATGTGATTTCATCTAAATTGTCTGTAAATTTCAAAAGAAAAATATTCCTAACTTTCTTCAAAAATAAATATTTTCCGAGGGGAAATTTGGCTTCATTAGACGTCCATAGGTCGCTTTTCCTTGGCACGTCTACATGCACTTAAGATCTCATGGTATGCAACCCCTCTGTGAAACCCGCATGGAGCTTCTGTGTGGTCTTCGAAGATATTTTTCGCACAAAGCAAGTTCTCGGATTTTTCTATCTTACCACCTTAAAACTCAGTAAAGAATGCCAATTCGTTTAACTTTTGTGGGTATCATAAATTTTTGGAAACGTACAGCATTACGTTGATCGTGATTTTTTTTTAGGAAGGACGTTTGACTACATCGCAAATTAAATTAAATTACTGTAAACTGAGATTAGTTGCGAGCGGACCAATTTTGGTCGGCCGGGTGCTTTCGACGACAACGATATCTGTAACATTTTAAGCTCTCTGAAAATATTTACAAAAATATCAGGCAAAGTTCAAGGGTTCTCGACGATTGTCGCACACCGACGCAGAATAAAGATATACATATTCCCACTCAACAGTCGCGACGTAGGTATGTTACAATGTAGCCGAGGTGACCTTCACGGGCTCGAAAAAAACGCGGCGAGATTTCCCGCACTCGAACCCAGAGCCTCTCGAGCAGGCGTTGGAAACGTTATTAACGAGACAAACAACACAAATTGGTCGGATGCCAAGTTTAGCTCAAGTCAGACGGCCACCAACGCGAACGGCCGGCCGGCGCGCGGCGTTCAGCGCCAGCATTTTCTTGCTGCCACCGCTTCAAATTTTCGCGATGGAAGGAAAATTTTTCAGCTTCAAAATTCAAAGCATACTTGTGATGACAATTTTCATTCTTCTAACAATAGATCGTAGTCGATACATCAAACGGGTGAGATTGTATCGATATCGATTGGTTCAAAACATAAACATAGCCTCAAAAGTCAATTCAGAAATCTGAGGGAACGGGTATTTTGAAAAATATTTTTTATTCTTTTGAGTACCAAATGCCAACGCATAGTGAAATTGTGAGGAATTTTTTCATTTTCAGCTTTTCCAACTTAAATCCTAATTGTTTTGTTTGAGGTTATGTTCTATTGTTTTGAACCAAACGATACATCAAACCATTATCGAATACGATCTATGGGACTGACAGAATTGCCTCCTTACCTAGGATATTCCATCAAGTGAATTGTAGTAAAAAATTTCCGATATTGGAAACTAAAATTAAATTCTTTGTTGGGTCAGCACTTTTTTTTTGCTCGCTGCTACATATTTTCACAAGTTTTTGCATGCAATGTCTGTCTGGCTCGAAAATTCTTAAAATGGTAATACTTTTTTGGGGGGTCTCATTTCGGGAACGGGCCCCCCTAACTAACCTTAAGTCTTCCTTTATGTGGGTTTTTCAAGTTTTGGGGGCCCCTAAAGAGGTCCTGCCAGGGCCCTTTGAGCCACTCGTCAGAATTTCTGGGGCGCTAAAGCACCCCCTGATTTTTGAAGTTATCTGTTCGTTATCTCAGAAGCTGATTCAAATTATATGGGTAAAGTATTGGCTGGAGAGAGGAGGAGAAGGAGTTTCGAAAACCGAGATTATGGTACTACCCCAATGACCTGTATTTAGCTTCGTTTCAAACTCACTTAAGTTACTCATAATAGAAATATGCGATATTCTGATTGAGTTGGTCGGAAATTTTGCTAGATTAATGATATCCCTTTGACGTTAATAGGAAGAAGATCAGCGAAAACATTAGGTGCTAATAATTACTGAAGCATAATAAAAATTTAGCGGAAGAGAGAGGCAGAAGCGTTTCACTTTACGGTTCAATTCACAGTCAGATCATTCATTTTTATTATCTTTCCAGCTTGTTCTAATTTTAACTAGCTGCCATGCCAGACGCGGCAAGATGCATCTTCGCAAAATTATCGTCAGATTACTTCACAGCAGACTAAACAAGAAGATAACTCGAGTTGTATAAGCAGCCGGTGTTCCGAAGATAAAGCAAAGAAAGTTTTAAACAAATAATATTTTCGGAAATTTTTTATTGAGCAAATCCATCCATCGAATTGTCAATACATTTTCCAATAATGAGTTACTGTTTCAGGCTCATTTTAGGAAAAAAATGCGCTAATAGTCTCGTTATGCAGGTAAATTATTTAATAGATATACGCCACACCACAGATGCGAAAATTCTAGTCGAGCTTCTTGAGAATAGAGAGGATTCATAAGACCTCGCATGAATTCGACGATTAGTTGATTTTCATCATACTCAGGCTGGTAATTCTGGATTACTTGAAAGATTTATCATTAAGCCACTGGCTAGAGTCGATGATCAAGGTGCATAATGACAAAATAATACATTTTTTTCGTGCCATCATCAATGTAAACTGTAAAGTGATAGAAAAGACAGCTACTATCGGTACACTTACGTCATTTAGAAGAAGTCGATAAAAATTGCCCTTTATCATTTAATTTGCAGCAAATTTCGAATCATTTAAACCGTATTCCACCTTCAGAATACAATGACACTAATTTCACCCACATAGGCAAAAATAAACCTTAAACGCCCTTTTTGTGAAATTTTGCGACTTACGTCTGTTAGAAAAATAATCGATCGATAATTGGTTGGTTGGTTCAATTGACAAGTAGCATCGTATGTAGGATCTTTCCTAGGTTCCTGACAAAACGAAGCAGAAAATATATGGGAAATTTAGAAAGTTTACCTTTAGAGTGATTATACAGCCGAAGAGTGCGATGAGGTTGCAGAGCACATGATATGCATCGACTAGAAGGGTGAGAGCGTGAGTGAGGTGACTGACCACCAACTGCACCAGGAAGAAGAATAGCGTGATCGTCAAAATCACGTACAACTGCACTGGCTGCAGGCTCCGAAACCATTTTTTCATCACCATCCTGACAAAAATCAAAAGGAAGAGATGGAATTAATTAAAAAATAAATACAAATATTTTCGGGGAAAAACACGTCTAGAGAGAGGCGATTTCGTGGGCTAACAAATTGTCGCCTTGCTTATAGAGGACACAAATTATGCTGGAGAAAACAACTCATCTTTGTAGGATTGAATTGACATGAAAAAGCAGAATTTTAACACACTGAGAAAATTACATTTTCATGATTTAAGAATGCTTTTAAGGCTACCCTAAGATCAATACAATGATATCAACTAGCTGGGGGAGATATGAGATCTAGGCCAAATATTCCTCATAAATGTGCGGAGTTTTCTAAGATTTTTTCTTTTTTTAAATTAAGAGAGATAGACGGATGTATAGCATAAATGTAAGCTTCACATTATAAAATGAGATGTATAAAATGAGCTGACAATAAGACGAAGCAGCAACTGGACAGAGACACAAAAGCAGAAAATCGACAAAAACTGATTACACATCATTCTAAGCTATGCAAAAACTACGGGAGGCTTTATTAATCTTAACACTCTTAATATTCTTGTTTAAATAACTCTCGGATATCTATGAAGTCCCTATTTCTTTGATTAGTCCAAGCAGATTCATTTCAAAGACTTATTAAACTGAGAATTGCATGAAATACGGAACGAAAATGGCAGAAAATCAAAGAAAAGTTTCTACACGATGGATTGTAAGAAGTCAGTTTGTTAAGACTGGGCAAAATCTACGAACGGACACACGCAAATCATCATCGTCTTCGCTGTAAAGTGCGAAGTAGGTAAGTAACACAACAAGAGATGTAAAACAATAAACTGTACTTGAAGGCAAACATCATGAGTATATTGCAGTTTTCAAAATGTTGAAAATTTCGAAAACGGAAAAACAACAAAAAGTCATGGTTACTTTGAGGTAGTGTTCAAAGTTAAAACATCGTACATTGAAACAAATATTTCAGCCTATGCATTTGTTGAAAGTTCATAAATTTTGAAGTCTTTAGCATTAAGATAAAAATAAATTGTTGAAGAAAATTTTTTAAAAAAATTAATAGGTAAAAAAAAATAATTTAAATAAAAAGTGAATTTCTAAATTTTAATTTTTGTTTTGAGTCTAAAGTTTGAAAACTATCATTTTTGAAGATTATTAGAGTTAGTATTGCGCACATTATGAGCTAATTGCGCGCGCCTGAAGTGCCGTAACAGCTGTACCTTAAATTAAAGTTCTACAGAAACAAGAAGCATGCGCATAACGGTTCGCCAAGAAAAAATGTGAACCGGTGTAATCAGAATACAATAAATAAATAGTCTATTGATGGAGACTTAGCTTTAAAGATACTATACACGTACTAGAACTAGAGTGACACAGGACGAAACGAATAAAAATAAAAATGATAAAGATAAAAATAACTAATTCAACCTGAATACAATTGTAGCAGATACAAATACATGAGAAGCGTGATCACAAACTGACAAAAATGAACTAAAAGACCTGGGGAATAAACGAAAGCATATTAAAAAACTAAGCTAAGTAGATTAAGACACTTAATTAAAACACAAAAAAAGGGAGGGAGTGGAGTTAGACTGATACAAGTAACTCACGAACAGAAATTAAAAAAATGTTCTCTCACGTTTTATTCTACTCTACGAAAATCTTAATACATGTTGATTTGTACAGCACTGAATGAGGTTGAATGAGATGAACTGAAAAATAAAAATGAGAACACAAAATAGCATCAGCAAAGAGACTCGCAAAAAATCAACTTCATTCCATTAAGGACTACAAGTGCAAAGGCATGGAAATGTATCGAGAGAATGGGAGTAATCAAACTAAAATAAACGCTTCAAAACGAGTTTTCATGAGTTTCGGTTCATGACGGTCGCAAAAGATTAAGAAAAAACCTATGAACATGAGGGGTTGGGGGGGGGCAGCACTTATGCGCGAAGATACTTTTCAGAGGGAACATTCATATTCTGACCCAAAATCCACGTAGAACACACGGGTGCGCTGATCCGCGAGGCAGGGAATGGTCCCACATAACTATACGGACTATACGGATCAAGTGAAATGTCCGAGAGGATCGTTCCCACAGATAAGGGCGCTACACAACATTTTTTTCCAAGTCCGGAAACGCTTTTTTGTAGTCGATCTTTGCCTCACATTTGTGGGAGGAATCATGACAATTCATATGATGTTTTCCCACAAAAATGAAAAATGGCATATCTGTTGATGAATCCTCCCATTACAGTCTAGCCCTTCAACCCTCGAACAATCCGCATTCCGTATACTCCAGCCCTGATTTCCACATTCTTAATTTTCTCGCCTCCCGAATTATCCCAGGTCCATAAACACGCGAAAAATGGATTTACTTTTTATGAGAAGACGAGTTATACATACAAACGGAAGTAGCTTTTACTTTCCTCGACAATGCCGCAAACGGGCAACAGGTGGCCCACATTAAGCTTCCATCGCGGGGTTTACGGCCGACCAGCGTGCAGTGAATCAAATCAATTGGGAAGGTCGGACATGTGACTTAAACTGCAAATTTTGATGTTTATTTTTTCACATTTTAAATTTTGAGGGGTGCATTTGGAATAAAATATTACGGGAAAATCAATGAAGACGCTTGTAGAACCTCAAAGTTTGTATAAATGGAGTTCAGAGCGTTTAAAGTTTCCAAATTTTGTCCGACCTCTTCTATTGACTAGATCCACTGTGCGGCCCGGCGCGCGTTACGGTGGCGCGGGTATGATGCGGATGCTCTGGTCTGGTAAATGGTAATTTACTACTTGATTGCTCAATAGGACGGCTTGGTCACGAGAAGAATCCGAGCAACGAGCCTGGATGATCCTTCATCGTCCCTCCGCCGCTCGCAATGACTCAATCACCAATGGGATTCGACCAGGGCCGGTGTCCGCTCTCGCAAGAGTTTTCACCCACGTAAACATGCAAAGTGGCGTGGCGTGCTTTGCGATATATCGATTGCTCCGTCATTTAAGCAAATGGAAAAGTATCGATAAACAGGATGTTCGTAGCGAACACCTTAATAATCGATTATTTACCACAACTTCAAATGGGGAAATATCGATAGGGCGCAAAGCACGCCACGCCACTGAATTGCAAATGGACTTTATTTTTTGCAATAAGGAACCATACACAGGGCCGGATTTACCTACTTGCCGCCCATGGGCCGCCTCTATTTCGCCGCTCCTTCTCATTCGTTTTGAAACATCGATACAAAACATCAAGTGAACGTGCCAGAGGAGGATGGGTGTATAAGACGCGTTTACTCGCATTTGACACATTTTGTGTGAAACCCCTGTCACCACTAACACAAGCTTCACGGAACTTTGCGCGAAAATTAAGTTCCGTAAACCTATCCCTGTGTGGACAAGGCCTTTCATTAATGAAAAAAGAACGAAAAAATTATGAAAGAATAAACATGGATGTGGTTTAATGATTTTAATTTCCGCCACCGCGCCAACCGCGCAATGCTCGAAGTATCCTCACAGTCTTGTAGGCGCTATGCGTTTCACGCGCCGACCGCTGCTGACCACACTATTTTTGACGCAATGCGTGAAGTATTCGTGGAGTCTTGTAGGCGCAAATATGTGTCTCATGCTGACCGGCGCGCCGAGGGCTTCTCCTTTCCATCCATCTCCAGTCCTCGTCATCATTGTTTTCTACGCCGCGCCGCTCCGGGCCAAATTTCGTGTTTGGTTTCTCTCTCAACTTCTGTCTCTTGCATAACCGAAAAACGAACATATTAGAAATTACTTTACTTTAAGTAACTCTCAGGAAATGAGAGATTTTCTCGCCTTTTCTCGTTTGTAATTTTTTTTCTGAATCAGATTTTTTTCTTGATACCTACATATGAAAAAATTAAAACATATGCCGCCCCCTAAATTTGCCGTCATGGGCCGCGGCCCATTTGGCCACCCCCTAAATCCGGCCCTGACTATACAAGTTTTGATCATGCATAGAAACACCTATCAGCATGGGAAAACTAATGGTATGTGTGTTGTTTCTAAACTTACTATGAGCCAGAAATTGTAATTCCGAATCGCAAAATGTAGTCCACATGGACTACAAGACAAGGTACAAAATTAAGCACCGTAATACATTCTGCCGTGCTAAGGAAGAACGCCGTATGAACATTCAGGAGTTGCCAAACTTCCCTTAGTAAAACTTGCATTTTTGACGACATTCATGCATACTTTTCTTTAAAAATTTCAGATATTGTAGATTTAACTGCGTACAAAATTGTCTGAAAATTTTGGAAAAAAATATTCACAATTTGCCCAGTAAATTCAGTTTTTATCGAAGGAGACATGGCAACATTTAAAGGTTCATGCGGCGTTCTTCCTTAGCACGGCAGCATTTTTGACAGAGTACATCAGAGAAGAAAAGCCGAGGGGCCTTCAATTTTTATGATAAGTAACCAGGACAACCTATGCAATCACGAATAGGTAGTTGCATTTGAAACGGTGCGTTGTCGCGTCAAGCAGTACATTTTCCATCGGTGAAGATGATAACCACTAATCCTGATGATGCTTGAGCTATGCGCGTGTACAAATGCCATCCTCATTCTTTCGATTTTCTTCATAATTGAAAAATAATGCCACGACATTTTAAGTGACGACAATAGAAATGAGTGCGCCTTTTCCCCTTTTTTCCCCATGACGCGGATGAACTTTCACCGATGTAAATTGCACTCCTCATCATAAGAGCAAATCTATTGGCTTTACACGTGCGCGCAAGGAGCTTACTTTTCCTTTCTTCGGTCTGAGTTTTGACCTGACGCGTGCCCACCGAGCTGCGGTGAGAAAACTTTTCCCTCCAACTGATTTTATGGAAAGTACGCTTAGCAAGCTCCACGGGTGCAACAACCACGATTTGCTCCCTGCATAAAAACGTTGTTGCCACGATTGTTGTGAAGACGGATGGTTCGACTTTTCGCTGAACCTCATCAAAAAACAACACTGAGAGGTGGTGCTCTGACACAGTGCGTCTACTGAAATTTCACTTCGGAGTTTCCTGATTTTTTTCTGTTAGGTATCTTTAAAAAAAAATCCTGGCTTTATGCGCGAGTAAAGTGACACTTATTTGACATAACAAATCAAAATATTTAATGAGTTGAATTACATGTTTATAAAATGATTGAAATTCTGGGTGAATTTCCTGACCAATGGCAAATTTTCCTGATACTTTCCTGGTGATATCGACTTTCTTGATATTTCCACGTTTTCGATAATGGTATCCCGTTCAAAAAACGAGAAAAAAGAAAAAAAAAGCTTTCTTAAGATTTAGTGAACAAGCTTTTTGGGGGGCACAGGGGTACACCTGGTCTACTTGTGGAGCTACGCTACTTGAAGTAACACCAGTTCCTATCCATCCGATTGCTCATACGGTCATTTTAAGCAGCGTTAGTACCATAAAAGGAAAGTTTATGTCTCGATGGGGTTTTCGCCGCTACATGGAGAAATTTCCGTTTCAAAAAAAATTGAGATTTTAACCACGACGGAACACGCTGTCTTTCATTGTCAGTCTAGAAAAAGCAGATTCTTCGTTTTAATGTAAGCTATACATGTGATCTTACACGTGGTGAAAAATGACTTTAACTCTGAGTTTTGGAATATAATTACCTAGATTTTCCGCTAGTGCCAGCCCAAGAGTCGCAAAAGATAATAATCTAGGCAGGGCTATCCAGGCGATACTATTTGGACCATATTTTGCAATTAGAAACTACAAATTCAGACTCATCCATAAAAGCACCTACCTACATAAAGAAACTTGTGGCACATGCTGTTTCTAACATGAGCCAGAAATTGTAGTTCCTAATTGCAAAGTCCAATTCATTTAACCTTTCTATCAAGGAATAAGTATAGCAAACCGTTTTTCATGTCGAAAATAAAAAAATTATCCTATAGCTTTGCGATGGATGTAAAAAATTATTTTTACCTGCCGTGATTTGAAAAAGATCCTGAACACACGAAGCTCAAAAGCTTCCGCCGGCAAAAAAACAAAACCCGCCACTTGAACTCCGTGAAATATTCGCTCGACTCAACAAATTATTTCACCACTTTTTAGTTACTTATATTTTTTTCAAAATGGCAAAAATTGGTTTAAAAAATTTTAAAGTAATTCAGCCGAAAAAATGTCACTTAAAGGATCGAATCGTGGCCATGCACGAGGTGAACTGCGAGATTGGGATAAAGGCGACACGAAAAAGGCCACTCTCACATTCCCCACACCGGAAGGATCGCGAATGGGACCAATAAAATAACCCGCTGTTGCCAAATCTTCTCAGCTTTCATTCTGAGGCACGATCTATCGGAAAATCACGTGTCTGATTTTTCAGTACGATGCATTAGGAAACCATTGTGAAATATGGTTACCTAATAGTGATCAAAAATTTCATACAGACGGGGCGAAAGTTAGGTGTAATTCAACCTTTGTAAACATTTTTATGAAAAGATTTTTTTTTTGAAAAAGCAGAAAATACCATGAAACTAAGCACTTAAATTGTGCTGGATAAAAGGAAACTTTTGCTAGGACGATATACCGAACGGTTTCGCATGCTTACTGCTGGTCAAAAATTGGCGGAAAATGCAATTTTTCTTTTTTTTTTTCGGAGAGAGAATAAAAGGACAACAGAACGATATATTCCTTTCAACGATGTTCTTTGATTTATCGCAAGATT